ACTGCAAGAGTGGTCAGGCATTGGACCAGGCTGCCCAGAGCAGTGGTGGAGTCCCCATCCCTGGAGGGGTTCAAAAAACATGTAGATGGGGCACTTCAGGACATGGTTTAGTGGTGGACTTCTCAGTGCCATGTTAATGGTTGGACTCAATCTTAAAGGTCTTTTCCCACCTATGGTTCTATGTTTCTGTAGTGATTCTTATCAAATACACTGCTTACAGTACGTTAATGGAATACGACTTTGGAAAAAAGTAAATACACAGAACCCTGTTTTAGTTCTCCATCCTGCAAATCTTCAACAGTGTCATGGGCAAGTTGGAGGTGTAGGCTAAACATTGAACATGACCCCTAAGCACTGGGGGCACAAGCAGACCTTGTGATCTGAAGTCTCTGTGACTTATACCAACCATGCCTTTTATGTAAAAGGCAACTAAAGCCTTTTATTAGCCTAACAGCATAGCTGTCCACTAGTAAGTGATTCCCTTCAACTGCCCACCTTTGAGCATTAGATGCTCAGACACACACCACGATATATTCACACTCTGCTGACATAAATGTGCTCAACTTGCATGTTTTCTGCCACACCATCCATTCCTGGTTGTGGTAGGGACCAGCTGCAAGCTGCCTCTGTTCCAAGTGCTACCAGCATACACTGGTGTGTACGGAGGGAATTCCTCCACTGGCATAGGAGGAGCTCATCTAGTTTAAGGCTTGCTTCCATATTGAGAGGTTGACCACAACCAACTGCAACAAATGTTACTCAAGTGTCTTAATTAAAAGCTTGCCAATCCTGTGACAAAATATCTATAATCCTTGCTACTTGTTATGATTTAGCTCGTCAAGCAAGTACATCTCCAATCTGACACTGCTTTAATTTCGCTTCTGCATCCATCCAGCTCTGATGAAATGGAAGTCACCTGCCTGGCACACTGGTTAAGCACCCGTTTACGCTTGCACTCACTTGGCACTTGCAGGATGAAGACACCAAGGCTTGCCACTGCCCCAGCATTCCCACAAGATGAGCCTCATGCTCTCTCTTGCTAGCTGCTGGCCTTGCCAGCACATTTTCTACTTGCTGTCAACCAGCCCAGAGGCCCTGGTGCTGGGCCCTGTTCAGGCCAGGCTTCCAGGGTGTGCAGGTGCAGTGTTCAGCTACAGGTGAGACTGCAGTACAGCTGAGCATTTAGGTAAGAGCAGCCAGCAGCGTTAAAGCATTTGGAGCCATATTTGTTAAGAATTTAGTTGAGTGTCCCCACAAAACAACCAAGAAGAGTAGTCAAGGCCAAGGGAGTGACAGCGTGAGAACAAAAGATGGCCAGATGAATTTCACACATCTGAGTATCGGGTGCACACAGCTGTGGTTATGATAGCCAAGGCTGGATAAAAAGCAGGGAGCAGTGACCTTAACGTGGTAAAAGAGCAGTGTCCTGGGCTCCGGGACACACCGCTTCACCTGTAACAAGGCAGCTCATTCATCACAGCCACAACAGGCAGCACACAGCTATCCCCTCACAAAGCACGATCCACACATCTCTCTACAGAGCCCACTCCTCAGGGACTGGCTAGGCTCATTATCAGAAGGAAGCGCTGTTTTGAAAAAAATAAAAAACCAAAGGGGGACATATTGCTGACAATTGTGAACACAGGAGTGCTTTTATTTCAGGAAGCTGTTCCATCCTCCGTTCAAGGGAAAATGGCATCTTCCTTCTCTACAAAGGAGAATGGAGCAACACGGAGTTCACGCGCCGCAGAGGTGGCATTTAGAGACTGTATAAATACAGAAAGGAGTGGGCACTCTGCAATTGCCTGGATACTCTAGCTTTAAGATGCTACTTCAAGGCAACAGCCATGCCTGGGGATGCTGCTCACTAGGATATAGCTCCAGCTGGTGCAGAAATGATTGAGCCAGCTTGTCCCAAAATAGCAATAAAAGCATATGGGTAAATGGCACACAGAGTCCTGTGCACAGTCTTACAGTAATTGCTCTATGCCAGAGCACACTACAGCACCTTATCAGCACCTGCTAGTAGAGCAGGTATTTCCACTAATTCACTCCTACAGTGCATTTACACTGAACTCAGCTGGTGAAGGCACAAGGCAGACATCTTTAATGGTTATTTGTGCCTTTTATTTAAAACTATAGTTAATAGGCCAAGCCATTTTGTTAGGCACCCCTTTTCACAGGAAGGTAGAAAAGCAGCAGCTGATAGCAGGGAAGGAGTTAGACCCAGCTGCCCAGGGAACAGCATTACAGGGATTAGACAGGAGAGGGGGAAAAGCTAGGAACATTTAAAACGGCATCATGGATGCTAAGCAGAGCACCGCGGACAGGAGGGGATTAAGTGCTTAGCAGGCAGAACAAGGCTGCCAGGCCCACCCAGTATGGCTGTTGGAAGCTCCTGCCCAGGAGAGCTCACCTAACCCTGCTGCACTGCCCAGCTTGCCAACTCCCCTTCAGGGCTCAAGCCAGAGGAGCTCCAGAGGAGCATGCTGCATGCTCTGCGGCGCAGACTGAGCTCCCATTCCAAATGCTCTGCTGACGTACTGGAAGCATCAACAACCTTCTGATCAGACCCACAGGGCCAAGGGGCCAACAGTATTATCTCCACACAGAGATGTTTGCTCCTTACAGCACTACCTTAGGTTCAGGAGAAGCGCTTTGTGCTTCAGGCTGCCATGGGCAGAACTCGGAGCCTCCCGCTTTAGTACAAACACCTCTCCAAACAGGGCAGGTCTCCAAGGCCTCTTGGAGGGGGCATACATCAGCTGTGGATATAAACTGACCAGGTAGTAAGTAGTTACTACAGCTGAGGCAGATGGCAACATCATTGCTTCAAGACAGACCTTGTACAAGGCAGTATTTGAGCTACCAGCAACACAGCAGCTCAGAGCTAGACTCGCACAAGCTTCATCCGCAGCGGAGTTCAGAAAGCAATGACTGGCTTGGCTTGAGAGCAAAGCTTGTTTCCATCCAAAAGAAAAAAAAAAACAAACAAGGAGCAACTTTGAATCACAGCACTATAAACCCCTAAACTGACACTGCTGCCTTCCTCCCGCACCACAAGCTTCTCCTCCCCATGTTTGTCCAGCAAACACACCCGCACCTGGCAGACAAGATCAGGGAACGAGTTTGAAATTGGATCTTCTGCCAAGCTGCATTAATCCAGATCAGTCACTTCCCAACTACTGTGTGGCAACTGCTTTGCTACCA